AGACTTGAAATCACGCCGATGCCTCTGCACAAACTTGATCCACACTCTTCTGGTTCTCGCCTTCTCGTTGTCTGCCTCAGTTCCAGTATTCTTCACTTGAGGGAACTTGTGCATAGATATGCCTTCGGTGAAGTTGCTGTTTTTGCAACTAGCTCCATTTGGCCCTCCTGCTACACAGTATTTGGACCCATGCCTACGCTGTTTACCCGTAGGCGCCGCCATGACAGTTCGACTGAGATACCACTTTTTACGTCACGCATATCATTTGCATATTATTTGCATTCGCACAAAACCCGAAAATATTGCGGGATTTGAGCACGTTTTAACATGACTTCCCGACTGAATTATCGCACAAACAATATCTCATTTTAATCACAAGGTAAAGAACTTCTAAAATCTGCAAAAAATCGTAGAATATGACGACTTTTTATTCCATTTCATAGACGCTTTAATCTGGCATTGCTAAAAAATGTAACTGTTAATGAAAATTTCCATATTGTATGATTTCAGGTGCAGCACCCTACCTTCACTCCTGGGTGAATCAGAAACCAAAGACCAGCTCCATAGAAGAGATGTTCTCCCACCAAGAAAAAGAAAGGAGTGTGTGGACTTAACAAGGTAAATGTTGCATGTCAACTACAATGTACATAGTTTGAATTTTATTCCATAAAGTTTTGTATCAGTAATGTCCGTATAATTTTCTTTTCGGATGCTAATAAAAACATACTTGGATTGCTTCACATGGTACTTTACTTCTTTTAAAGAACACTTCATATTGGTGCACTCAAACATTGTCATTGCATTTTTGATTGACTTTACAGATTGATGAACCTGAGGACTCCTCCGCTTGTTGTTCGGATCCTGGTCTCGACACCAACATGGCTATACTTCAACCTGATCTGGCAACATACCCATCACCAACTGCACTGCCATCACAGACCACATCTTCACCATGCTTACCTGACAAACTTTTTACCACCACTTGTACAGAACTACTGAAACTGTCATGTTCATTGAAGTTGCATTGTATTTACATGTTTCTGAAGGTTACAAGAACATGTACATGTTTTTTCACAAATTAAAAAATATGATGAGAAGCAACTTCAAGGAAGTGTTCCTAACTTACATGTATTTTTGGAATTTTGGGTACTCTCATGTATATAATCTACTCATACATGATCCAGTGAAAAAATGAATCATGGCTACATGTTTCAATGAGAAGCAAATGGTGGAAAACCAACTTAAACTATACATGGTTTATTAGGAATGAATTAAAGAGTGTTACTGAACTATTTTCGGTTTCTGATACATGTGCATACTGTTAACACACATCTGTTTCCTAGTACATGTACTAGTAGTAGCTCTTTCCTTTTGTACTCAATAAACACTACATTGTATTTACACTACAACAGTATTTGTGCCTAATAAAATCAATCAACAATAGGATCATACTAAAACCTTTTGACAACAACCAAATAATACATCTTTGACAACATGAGTGGGGCAAAGACCATGTGATTGGTAGATGTCCTAGCGGCATTGTTTCTATGGTCCTGTGTTGTGCTTTGCAGACTTGAATTTCTTTTCCCTCTTCGGGCAGATAGTGTTTGTCTGAAAAGAGTTTTAAAAAATGTTAAAATTTTAGAAAAAGACATAAATATAAATAAAGAAATGAGAACATGAACCACCCGAAGCCAGGATCTCATCCAGACACTGTTTATGCTGTTCTTATGATATTATAAACATTGGAAAATCCCCGTCTCCAAAAACGTAGGACGTTTAGAAAAACACATGCCCCGCCTCTCCCACACTGCGTGAGTGAGTAAAAACACTTTGACGTTGTAATCGTTGAATCTTCAGGGCGACCGCCAAAATTTCGTTCAAGAGACCCATTTCTACCCAACAGGATCTCACCAAGGTAAATTATGTTTTTGTACCGTTCTACTCTAGTTAAGTTCCATCGACAAATAATAATAAACGGAGGACGTTAGAATAACAATTGCCCCCCCCCCCTCCCCAAGTTACGAAAGTTTCACTCTACGTACGGCCGGACATTAGACGCTATAATCGATAAATCTACGGAGAAATCGCCGAACACTCCATAAATCTCCACCCACAAGACTCCAGGGCCAACATTTTTAGGTTTTTGTGGCTATATACCCGGCTAAACTCGATATTTTTCGAAGTTAGCTGCGTACGTAGAATGTAAACAAAGTGCATCACATACGCTACAATGCCGCCCGTCCGAAACTATTCAAAATCGGAAGAAACATGCATTTCTACCCGCCGAAATCGATCCCACATGCCCACAACAACATTCTCTACCCGTGAAAGCCGTACTTCCGACAATATTTTACACTGGACGGGCAAAACTCACCGTTGAAGTTGGAGCACCGCTATCGACTGTGTTAGAACGTACTACAGGGAATCCGCGACCACATGGAAGCCTCGCTTTCGTGCGAGGTCACGCGCGCTCACGCCAAGGATATGCTCTTGCGAGAATAGAATCCATATGGCGACTGTATCTGGAATGAGGTCTATTTCAGGTCATTAAGTTTTAGTACCAGGGGTCCAGATCCCAAAGTGTTTTTTTTTTGCATGAAAATGGCCAAAAAAACAACAACAAAAAATTAAAACAATTTAAAAGAAATGAACAAAAAATGCCTGGAGCCCCGGGGTATTTAGCTAGCTACTCTACCTTCATGGCAAATTCCATTTGGCCGAAAAATGAAGAAATTGAATCCATTTAAGGAATAGCAGGAGAAGGAGAAACTGTTTCACCAAACCACTTCGTGGTGTGGTAAAGCCATAAAAAGGATATCCATATCGTTTAGATCACAGCAGAATCCGTCTTGTCGGAGGTTCCAGTCGGAAAGAAGGACGTGTGGAAGTCCGACCGGCCGACAGTATGACCTGGGGCACAGTTTGTCACAACCAGTTTGACATGAAGGATGCAGACGTTGTTTGCAAAATGCTCGGCTACCCAAGTGCCCTTCAAGTTCGTAAAAATGCGTATTTTGGCCCAGGTAAGATTACAATTTATCTCATCCATGCATTACCTTCATGAACTGTAATGGAGGTTTTCATTTAGTTGAGTTTGCCATTCTATCTGTCAGTCTATTAGTCAATAAGATAACTGAAGAACAGCTCTATCCAACAATTATCTATGTAATTGTCCCCCCTCCAAAGCAAAACAATAAAACATTGAATAGTTGTATTGTAAAGGCCAATTACCATTCCTTATCCAATGTCAACCCCACGTTCCATGCCGTAAAACACAGACTGGAAAGGTCGACATTTGCTCGAAATTCTGAGAGAATACGACCTTATATGAGACGTTCTGCCGAATTGCTATGAACAATAGATTAGGGGTTTCGCGCAGGTGCAGTGCATTCTGCCGACGTGCCCGTGTGCAGGGATTTACATGTCGCGTGTGTAGAGATCTCTGGGATCAGGAAATCCCTGCACACAAAAGTTGTACATCTCCGGGAATTTCTGGGACGTGTGCATGTGGAGTGAGCAGGAGACACGCGCCCGGAAACTCCCGGAAATGTGGAATTTCGGGCCGCGTGTGCAGGGATGCCCAAGTCGGAAATTCGTACTTTCATGCGATGGAATGTACATTTTTGGTCCGGAAATAGCCAAAAAAGCCCTTTTTTACACAACTTTGAAGTGGTGTATGTTCAAAGATTGAATAAAATTCTTTGGGCATGTTTCTAATGTATCCCCATACCAAATTGCAGGTTATTCAGATTAAATATTAGGGCACAGGAGCCAAAAATGTACACTTTTTGTCCAAAAATAGACAAAACGCCATATTTTACACAATTATAAAGTAGCGTATGTCAAAAACTTTAAGACATTTTGGACACATGTCTACACAATGACATTTAAAAATGTCATTGTGTAAAAAATGTTAGGTAATTTGGTTTTAGTACCAGGGCTTTGGGTCCTGAAATGTGTATATTTTCGCCTGAAAATGAAAAAAAAATTTAAAGGCCTGTTTAAAAAATGCAAAAAACCGCCTGGGGGTATTTGCCCACTCAACCACCATGCCAAATTTTAGGTCATTTGGCTGAAAAAATGGCAATAGTTGAATCTCTTTAAAGAATTGGCAGGAGAAGGAGAAGAAGGAGAGACATCAGAGAACATATTGTTTTACCAAACCACGATGTGGTTTAGTATAAAAAGCTTAGCTATCGAGATTTCATTTTGAGTCACCCATCTCTGTGCTATAAATTTGACCTTGATATTCATAACTTTTATTTAACTTATGTTGTATACCATTAAGTTTTAAAAGAAAAACCGTTTGGGACAATAAATCACATGAATGATGTCATAATGACCTCACATTACGTCAAAATGATATAAAAACTGTTGATATGATTCACCAAAAAGCAGATACTCAGGCAATTGGGTTTGGTTTTGGATTTGAAAAATCATATCCAGTTGCTCGAGTAACTGCTTTTTGGAGCATCGTATATTACCTGGATGTCTAACCTTCATCGACGTGTTGATATGATTGATTATTACTAGTACACTATACTCTGATAATTTCTTGGTCATATGATATACCGTTCTTGAGTTCTGAGGGGGGGGGGGATTACATACCCCTGTCTCGTCCCAAAGATCCCAAAAAGCCCAGTCTAGATAGGGTTTAAAGTATGTAAATACAATGATTCAATTTTATTTTGACAAAATTTGCTTTTTGTTTATATTCTAATGTCTTAAGGTTAGTCCGAAATACGTTTTGAACCCGATACTTTTTTGAACGCGCCTGGCAATTGGAAAGAATACCATAACAACAGGCCGCCGCCAGTCTAGCAGAAATATGAATAAATAAATATTCAATATGTATACATAAGAAGATAAAAAGTAAACAGGGTAGGAGAAAATCACCGAAACTAATGATAACATAAACACTTTATGTAACACGGGTTAAATAATCATTTTATCATGTCTTCATGTTGATTATCATTTTGTGACAGTAATACATGGCATTTTCAACACAGGACGCGGGCCAGTCTACATGGATGACTTACAATGTAATGGGAACGAGAATAGCCTGTTCAACTGCTCGTACCCAGGGTGGACCATTCACGATTCCGACTGTAACCATGACCAGGATGTGGGCGTGGGGTGTACAGGTATGTCATTTGTTTCGTATTTCATGAAAAAATGACATACAACAAAATTTTTAAAACAAAGAAGTACCACGAATCCTGACAAAGGTAATGCAAAGTCAACAATATTAGAGTAAGATCAAGCACATAAATGAACTTCTTTTGTAAATACATATCAACAGGAGAAGTGAAATTTAGGACCAGATGTCCAAAAGTTCTTTTGGGGTGCGACAGATTTGGTATGAATTTTACGGAATTCATACTAATTTTACGGAGTACATACGATCCATTTATAGGAAACATACGAATTTTACGGAATACATACGATCCATTACGCGGAAACATAGCTCCTTGTACGCCTAGCGATCACGTAACGGTTAGCGGGAAATTCAAGATGGCGGACTATCTTTACAATATCTTGGTTTTAAAGAACTTTAACACTATCTGGACCGGGGGAGGGGGCTAAAAGTGCCCGCGGCAACTTTGATGTCACATAGCGTCTAAACGGCTAGCCGTAGAACGGCCAAACTTGGTGACTTTTCCTAAAATATTGTTGGCAACAAATCTGTATCAGTGGAATAAGATTATGATTTTTTCTTGTTGCCATGGCAACGGGTTTCTGACAGGCAGTTTTTGCCAAATTTAATAATTTCCATTCAAACAACAGAATTTTATGGGTTTTATGTCAAGTTACACATTGTTTCTAATATTAATAATATCACATATAGTTATATGTAAATTTAATTATTAAAAATGCATAATTTATGCTAA